AGCACGATTTTTCGGAAAACATTCCGCCCATTTCTCTGGAAGCTCGATATTTGTTGGATCTGGTACAAAGTCTCGACATATTGGACAATGAAATCCTGTTGATGATAGTTTTGTCGCACATTCTGTCACAATATGTTTATGTAAACAATTATGTCAAAACGTATGTAAACAAGGAATACATCTTGGACTTCTAAATGTATCGTAGCAAACAGGACATACCGTTAAATCTTTAATATGCTCAAAATGTTCCTGTGAAGTCATGTTCGTAGTTAAAGCTTCAGTGGAAGATAAGTCAAAATCTCCACTTTCGATTCGACTGGAAATTAATCTAACTGCATTTTATTTTTATTCTTCCTGGTGTGTGTGTGTGTGTGTGTGTCATCAAAATTTGATACGGTACGTTTTTAAACTTATTCTTTCCTGAATGGATTTTAAATGTCAATATGTATAACAGCATGCACAATTGGCATATACGAGACGTTTGTCGTCTATTAATTTCAAAACGTATACAATTTAAAGAATAAAATGATTTCTATTCATTTATATGAAATAAATAATTTAGAAATAAACTGGAAATTTAAATTAAAATTAGTATTGAAAAATTGCAAGGTGGTTGATTTACTGTTGTTACTTGAGAAAAACAGTGTCAATAAAAAACTTAATAATTTTAATACTTATCATAAAATACCCCTTTTCCCGGTATGTCTCCTATATAAAATAATATTCTTAATAAATCAAAGTTAAATTTATTTACTATTCTGAATAAAGATCATTAAGCCCCCCCCCCCTCAACCTCTGACAACATGTATGCATCGCGGCGTCTAAAGCCATGTAAAGATGGGGGGGGGGGGTTAATGAAGACTTAGCCGGTTCAAAAATAGTACGTAGATGATGCTCAGCATTTGACTTTAAATAAACGGATTACAAACAGAATGTCAATTATTTATCAATATTGGACATTAAATATTAATTTTAATTAAAAGGTATAGAAAGTTTTTATTTTGTCATACTGTGAAAAATCGTGACTCTTAATTATTCTATGATTAAATGGTAATTCATATAAATTTAAATAACGACCAAAAGATTCGAAATACAAAATCCAGATTGGGGCCAAAACATGTGAGAATCGAGTACAAAGCATATGAAAATCGTGTAGAAATCGTTTCTTGCAGCCTCTCGTGCAAACCAGGTAGCGTTTCTTGTAAATTGTGCAGCGTTTCGTGCAAACCATGTAGAGAGCGTGTACCGTTTAGGTTTGCGTTTGGGGTAATAGCATGTTTCAAGGTCTGTAGTACAGTGCAAGGGAACTAATTTTGTTACAATACCAATCCAGATTTCTTTTCAATCTTCAATCCCTTGCTTACTGATTTGACGACTTCCTCTGCTTGCTGGTTGAAGGCTAGTTATTCTTATTCTGATCCTTATCCTCATGCTTTATGACAAAGTCAATGCTACCTGAAATAGCATCATGCTAGCGGAAGAAAGTTCCATTTGTTAACTTTGCACACAACACTGCATGAGCACGGAGTGACAACACTGGCGTGTTTGTTTTGCTTTCTCACATTTCTTCCCTGAATTTTCAGGATTATAACTTTAAAATTTCTCATTTATATACAACAGAATTTTTACATTTCTTAAGTATTAAGGATAAAGCTTACTTCGTGAAAGTAAAAGGATATGAAACTATGTTGATTGATTTCTATACCCAAATCGATGACGTGATAATATGTACTGAATTTATTTTGATACAAACTTTTGACTGGAACTGGAAGTGTACAGTGTTGTAAGGACCGACGAATTATGAACCTACTGTGAAATCATTTTGTGTACATACTGCGACAGTGATATAGGCTACTTGTAAATCCATGGTAAGTTTTATAGCTTAATGTAAGAAATCATTTTTGAAAGTCACTAGACTTTCCTGTATGGTAAAATGAATTCTGTATCAACAAGTTCAGTGCTAGGCCTAACGTTTTCTATGAGAACGATTGGGGGAGGGGGGATACATCCAATATCGCAGTAGCCAGTCGAAAAAAAGACATTTCATTGAGGTAAAATGAGTCATTTCTTATTTTAATGAACATTTTTGCTCTTAAGCATTGGATTGATACAGCAAACATTTTCACAAATAGGAGTTTCGATAACTTTACATCTTGAAGCGAGGGGTTGTGTCAAACCTAAAGTACTATTGATGAAGCATACCCGTGTATAAAGCATAGGTTTTTCTGATGGGTAGTATCCACCACACGTGTGAGATAAAAAAAAGTTTCTGAACACGCCTTTATTATATTCCGGTGTGAAATGCTCTAGCAACATAAGACATAATAATGGAAAAATAGATAATATTGACTTCAAATCCGTGTCCCAGCCCTATAAATAACATTTTTTATGCTAGTAGGTCATGCTTAATTTATTACGTAGGTCAATGCTAGTTATGCTAGTTCTTTCCTTTGCTTGCTGATGCTCATCCTGGCAATACTGTCTTTTAAATGCTGATCCTGGTTCTAGCTGAATGCTCATGCTTTTTTAGCTCTTGATAATGCTGATTTATTCAACAAAATTAGCTCCGTGCACTGTGCTTAAATTTGAAAATAAAACATCACGAAAACAACGGGACAGTGATAATTAATTAATTGAAATGAAACTTTCAAATCACAAATTTTAAATTAAGTTTTAAACTCGTATTGGCTCGGTGTTTGAAATTTGACCGGTGAACAGTGCCATAGACAATATTAGCATAGGGTGATTTAACCATGCATCGGACAGATACCTTGCTTCGGACAATTTTAAGCAATAAAATTTCATCGAACCTGAGTAACCCCCTGTTTTTTACTTGTTTCTGTCTTAAAGGTTAAGATTTAAACTTTTTAATGATGCCGATTTTTATTTCCATGTTGTGATAAAAATACCACAAGAATGGCCTTGAAATTACGTCATATTTTGCATCATCAAAGGGGAGTAACCAGAATTTTACGATTGTGCAATTTTTAGAGTTGTCGCTCTTTTAAATAGACTTCAACAGAACGAGTCGGACCTAGGTTAATTTTGTCAATGATTAATAATTTTACAGACATTTTTCAAAACTTTTTCTTCCATGTTTGTATAATAACTTGTAGAATTGTTTTTATTACATGTAGTATGTTTATTTCACCGTACATCGGACACAAATTAACCATGCATCGGACACTTTCCGAGGCATGGGTAATCACTTCCATTTTGATATAAAACCCAAATGACAGCTGTTTTTTCGGAAATAGAAAATAAAAACTCTAAATTTTAAGTGAAAATACAAGATATCGATATATGACGACTAGAAATGGACCCAATTTATTTCTTTAAACTAGATGATGATAACCCACGAGACAAAGGCACGAGCTGCCATATTACTAGCATTGTTAAGCCTTTCTAAGGCGATGTGATGCACCTAAAATCTTTTCACATTTGTGGATCGAAAAAGTCATTCAAATTTAACTAAAATTTTAATTTTTCAATAAAAGATTAAAATGTTTCGATATCACTAATTTTAAAGCACCGAGATCAAGGTGTGATAATTTTCTGGTTTAAATACCGTATGTCCGATGAATGGTGAATATTGTCCGATCCATGGTGAATTCTGACTTATTTCGAAAAAATCGGGTTTTAATGATATTTTCTCAATAAAGAGCACACGATTGTGTCAAAAATTTATATTTTAACCACATACTACATGTTAAGTTCCATTTTGATAATATTCGGTCGGTAGCGATATCGCTAGAACTTGTTGAAGTGCGAGAATGTCCGATGCATGGTCAATTCCCCTACTATTTTATTCATTATACAAACTACTTTGTTTACGTCAAGAACTAAAGGTTTTAGAACACGAAGCTATTGTATAACCCAATATTTTCCTTAAACAGAGGTTACAAATAACAATATCTATAAAATGTGCTTTCTTCAAACTTTATTTATTATTGTTAAAGACCCCCCCCCCCCGAAAAAAATATATTAAAGGCAACATAAAACACAAAAATGCACTCATTTACAAAGAATTCACACATGTACGTGTTTGAAATACAAAATTAAGATATAAAACGTAACTACGAAAAAGGAATGTGATGAAATAGAAATATACTTGTCAACTTAAACCAATTCTATTGATAATGTTAATATATTCTACCTCACTTCGTTCGTCCGAATATTAATCAATGAAGTGCTAAATGAATAAAACACAACACATATTAAGTAGGAACGCTGCTCGCTAATGCTTTCATTCAATTATATACTCCTAACACATAACGATAACACATAAACTAATACAACTGTATAGCCCAAATTCATTGCACTCCATTGCAGCACTATCAGCCATACTAATTTTTAAATCCTGGCGAGCGAGCTTAGAGTGCCGTGCTACCGCATGGCTTACTATTTATACCCTATATAACCACGTAACTTTCAGAGAAACTTTTCGAACACGCTACATAATATGCCGCACAAAATATAAATTATAAATATCTATATATCTATATCTAATATAGGAATTTGTTTTATACATGAAGTATAATTATTTGAATAAATGTTTTAAAAAATGATCTGTAAATTTTAATACACGTAAAAGGAAGGTTGAAAAATACTTTTCTTTTGAGACTTTAAATGCATCTTTTTCCTGTTTATTACGGGATGGTGTAAATGGTAAATACCAAACTCTTAAACAATATAATATACATCGACAATATAGTTGCGCTATAGATTCACTTTGATACATCTCAAGTAATATAAAATAGCAAGGAAAATGTTGCGTGTTTATGAAAAGACAATTTATAGTTTATTATAGGATCGCATGAGTAATATATTAAAATTCTCAATACCCGTGGTCTTAGTGTTAATAGTATAATAAATATATACCCCCCTCCCCACCCCACCCCCCACCCCCCGAAACAAAAAATGAGCAAGAGCAGCACATTGATCTTTAATTTAATAGCTTTTGTAAGTTTCCACCAGGACAGTAATAATCAGAAAAATATTTATTTATTCTTCTCCAATATACGGAATACAATGACAGAATTATCTCCAGACACCACACTAAATTCGTAGCGGTCTTTCCGAAAGGATATGGTTCTTGGGTGGTCAATGTTTTTAAAGATCTTCAAAAAACAGCCGGCGTTGGAAATCACATGAATGCTGCTTTCAAAGCAGGGAATGTACAGGTTTTCCGCAAAATCCTTAGCCAAACCACTAGGATGCCTTAGTTCAGGATGTTTATAAACCCAAAGTTCTTGTCCTACCTGGTTGATGGCTGTTGGTTGAAGAATTCCTATGGCATTTGAGTTTTGTTTTAAGTAAACAATGTTTCCATCAAAGAGAAATACCAGGTAGTTTGAAGGAAATTGCACAGGTATTGTTTTCTTCACAACACCCTCTGCATCTAATTGTTTGACTGAGTCCGGGCATATTATAAATAAGGAATCTTGGTGTACGGATAAACCATAGCATCGCTCTGTGATTGTAATTGTTTTGTTTGTTGGGGAACCGTATAAATCCAAAACATTTATAAATTTTTCTTTTCCAGCAATATAAATATTATCTTTAAGACGAATACCATACAAGGGGAAACAGGTATTTCTTATGTTCCAGGTGATTCGCTTACTTGCATGTAGTCGGGCACATGCATTTTTTTCGTAGAAGAATACAAGACATTCGCCGTACTCTAACATGCAAGTAAAAAATATATAGCCAACTGTGCGCTCAAATTCATGTTTTTGGACCATTTGTAGTTCTGTTTTTCTAATATTCTGGATCATATTAATTGAAAGGCGCTTTGATTTCTCATGTTGAGATAAGGATGCCAATTGATCTATTTTGTCGAAATTTAGGAAAATATCTGAAAATTTCAAAGATAAGTCAATTTCCTTCAATGAAATCTTTGTGTTTTTAAGTCGTTTTACTTGTTTTCTTACGTGATGAAAACTATACACTTTGCTTGAACAATGTCTTTTGGTCTGTACACTTTGTAATGTCTTTTTACAGTGATTCGAGAAATCAAGCAAATCCGAAATGAATTCCATATTTTCGTCCATGGCTTTTCTTGCGGATTTCATCACTTTTGCTAACCCTTCTAGATGATCATTTTCAAGGCTATCCAACTTTTCTATTATTTGACGTCGTTTTTTCTTTGTTTCCTCTGTTATTTCGTCAGCCTTATCTTCGATCTTAGTTCGACTTTCTTCCTGAAGTTTTTTGAATTTCTGTAGATGCCGAGAAATATTATCTATTTCAGACATCAAACATTCATTTCTTTCTTTTTCCTCTATCACCTGAGCCTCTTTTTCTATCGTGTCTTTATTTTGACATCGACTGTGTTCATTAATGCTACAAACCACACAACAAGGACTTTTGTGATCATAACAAAAGAGATCCAAAGGTCTTGAATCATGCTTTTCACAAACCATCTCTTGTTGATCAACTTGAAGGAATTTTTTGAACTCATGTACTGGGAAGACATCATGGTCTCTTGTAACCGTTCCTCGTTTATGGTATTTCGCACACATTTTACATAACGATTCCATACAAGTCCTACACACTTCACTGGCTTCTTCTTCCTCGTTGTCGTTTTGACATGGTTTGCAGCGTTTTAGGGCAGCTTTGCCACCGCTATCAATGAAAAACTCTACAGCACGATTTTTGGGGAAACATTCTGCCCATTTATCGGGATTCTCAAACTTTGTTGGATCTGGAACAAAGTCCCGGCAGACTGGACAATGAAATCCTGTTGGGGATGTTTTTTTCTCACATTCTGTTACAATATGTTTATGTAAACACTTATTGCAAATCGTATGTAAACAAGGAATGCATCTCGTAGTTTTAAATGTTTCGTAACAAACAGGACATACCGTTATATCGTCAATATCCTCAAAATATTCCCCTGAATTCATTTTTTGTAGTTGGGGCTTGACTAGAAAATTAATCAAAATCCTCTCCTTTCGGTTTAGAAGTACATAAATCTATATACATTTTATCTTTGTTCTTTCTGGTGTGTGTTTCATACTCTCGAGATAATAATTTGATAAGATACAGGTACATGTTAAAGGCAAAGATAACGAACAGTGATCGATCTAAAAATAACAATCCACACAACAATACAAATATGTGAAAATGGCAAAAAACACGGATCCTGGATATTTCAGAGGTGGAACAGGTACCCAGGAGGAGTAAGCATCCCCTGTTAACCAGTCACACCCACCTTGTGCCCTAGGTATTGATCAGGTAGACGGAACAATCCGTTGTCAATTCAGTACAAAAACAAAGGTATAACAATTGGTATGAAACAAGTTAGCCAAAATACCACCTAATGATAGTTATATTTGCTAACAAGGTCGTTATAACGACTATCACATAAAGAAAATACTGACTTTAAACGAAGCTGTTGATCCCTGTAACATCAACTTATCAGTGAGTAGCCTGTCTCGCTTTAAAATCTATCGTACTCAGAGCAAACTCTTGAGTAGCGAATAATTGGAAGATATAAACACCATAAACAGGTGATAGTGGAATATTACTACATAAATAAGGAAAGTTGATGATGGAAAAGTTAAAGTCTCGTTTGTCATACAATTAAGTTGTAAGTTGGCTTATGTCGTCTATAGTCAGTAAACATCTAAATTTGAAACAGATGTGGTAGACTCTGTGGTGTCTTGTATTTCAAGTTCACTGGAATATATCGAGTCGACATAAGAATGAAAGGGGGGGGGGGTTTCATTGTGGAAAATTTTGAGCAGTATATTGAAACAAAGTGTATTTACTATCTTTTTGTTAAAAAATAACGATTTTTCAACTGATAGGTAGTTCTTATGTGTTCGTGACATTATGATAACCTGAGAATTTTTTAAGAGAGTTTCAATAAAAAATGTTATAAAAATATATATTTATATAAATATATATTTCTGTATTGAAAACATCACACAGTTTATTTTTGTTATTTTCTGTATAAATCCTTATGAGGAAAATTTCCTAAATTTTGACATTTAGAGATTCCCCCTCTGGAAATCAAACAGTAGAATTCCTTTTTTTTAAATAAACATATATAATGCACAACATAGTATTGCTGATCACATATCATAATTTGAGCAAAAGATCAATTGTAGTATTCTTTATAATTTGTCTTGAAGTACAAAAAGGATTTTCCCCATAAAATCCTATTATTAAATGTAATATCTAAAATACTTACATTTTCTAAATATTAAAATTAATTTAAATCTATTTCTAAAAAACAACAAGACAGTAAAAATTAGAATAAAATAAAATAAATATTAGTATTTTTTTAAAATATGAAAATAAATATGAAATAATAACAACCAGAAGGAAGATTTTTTCTGAAACTTTGTATGTACTCTGAAGTCATGGACCGCTACACGTGGTATAAAAGTATTAAAGAGTTTCTCCATTGTAGTTTGTACACAAAAAGACCATTCGCCTCCGATCCCTTCAACCCTTATTCTTGTGTGGATTTCTTACCTTATGATAAAACAAAGAGCTACAAGGAAATAAGGAAATTTGTATTTCAATTATTTCTCTTCTTGTAACCATGGTTGTAATGGATGGGATACTAGTACATAGCATGGAATTTAGATCGGGTAGTGATTCAGATTCGGAACTAATTTTGTTACAGTAACGATGCTGATTTGAATGTTTCCTTTGCTTGCCGATTTAATGCTATTTATCCATATCCTGATGCTACCTTTTCTGTTTTATGACTAGTTCAATGCTACCGGAAGTAGATTGCAGATTAAAATAATAAATATGTCTTTTATCATCATTTTATCATTATATTTCATGATATATTTTAAATATGTGACCGTTCAGATTAAGTCGGTATTTAAGAATTCGTCTGGAACTGCATCCGTTGTTTGCAGAACGAACGGGGTGAGGGAATGTTGGCGTAGGGGGTACCAGATATAGGTAGAGGCGCTGTGTGTCCTTGAGGTAAAAACAAAGTATAGGTGTGCCCTATTCCCAAAGGTCAACCAATATGCAATTCCAGAGATAAAACAAATGATGAAGGATTCCGTATTTATTAGATGAGTCTCAACGATGGCAACAGTTTACATAAATCAACAACCAGACATATAAAACGTGATTGAGTCGGATTGGCCGAAGTGGCCTCCGGACTCAGAGTCCTTACGAGTCGGACGTGGCCAAGACTGGCCTTCTTATATTCCAGACTAAAGATTGAAATTATACATGACTATTTATAAGAATGTACATAAAGAGTAAATAAATGACAGGTGTTGACATTAAGTCAAATGAGTGAAAGATTCACAGGTATAGAGTAATTAATTGTACTTAATGACTCTGATGTTTGGACATTAAAACCAGATAATTACACAATGTTGCTATAAGAGATTAACAGATCTTGAGACATAGCACTCTGTCTCTTTGTAATAACAGATCAATTGTCCGAAAAGTGTCACTCGTCAATTAAATTAAAACAATTAGATTCGTTGAACATATCGTGAGAAATGAAATATGACAAAAAATAAGAAATTGAAAGGTAAAGTCCAAAATAAAGTTTTTTTTTCTGGAAGAGTGGATTTTACACTGTGATAAATATATTAGATAATCTAACCAGTTTTCTATTTGTTTTCATGTTTTTTACTTAAGAAAGACTCATAAATTTTCTTATGCAACTTGGTCAATGCTGATTTAAAGTAGGTCAGTGCTATTCATACTCATTCTATTCTTTACTAGCTGATGCTCATCCTGGGAATGCTACGTTTTAAATGTTGATCCTGATGCTGACTCGATGCTTATGCCTATTTTGCATATGCTGATCTATGTAACATAGTTCCTTCAGATGAATTTTGCCAGTTAACATAAAACATGAAAATATTATTGGAGGGCAGGATTGTCAGTGATTAAGAAAAATAAGCAGTGGATGACAAGAAAAGTACTTGTCAAGACCGTCTTTTTTTGATAGGTACCAGATTTCTCTTTTTTGGATGGCAAAGGTGGGTGGGAGATCTAAGTTTCGATTCATGTGTAAAGTGTAAAAAATTTAGGTTTTCCAAATATTTATCACAGCATAATGCTTTTTTAATTTCCGTATAATTATCTAATACAATTGGTTTTTTAGGAACGTCTACATAACGCCCTTCACAGGACACCTATATTTGTAGGCCTGCAAAATGCTCCAAAGTTTAAGACATTTTTAAATGAATACTGTAAGCTGTTGTTAAAATTCTAAGATGCAAGAATTTAACGATTTGTTACAAGCAACGGTTTTAATTTCTCGCTAGAAGATATCAAGTCTTTTTTTTTTTTTTTTTTTTTTTTTTTTTTTTTTTTTTTTATACAAATTTTGCCCTGAGTCTTTATAACGTGTCTATTGTGTCTCCTCTATACCCCCCAAAATGGCTATTTATAGTAACAACTTCGAAATAAAACCCAAGGAGACCCTCTTTGTGTAATTGGTTCATTTTCCATGTAGTCCCCAGAGAGTTAAAGACAATGTGTACATGTGTTAAAAATATTATTGAAAAGGGGGGATAAAACTAGCAAAGTATCCCTCTTTGCCTAGTTCTCTATAAATTGAAGATGAAGAAGAAGGCAGATTCACAAGTTTGTGTAATGAAGAATTTGAAAAAAAAACAAATCTTCGACAAGAAAAAAGAAAGCGGGGTGAGTATGGTAGTTATTTGCCAGAAACTCGCACGAAAAGGGCAATGTACGTTACCTATTCCAATCCCTATACATGTACCTATACTATTGAAAATAGGCCCATAAAGGCTCCCAGACATTTTACTAAAACGCTGGAGATAAATGTTAATGGTTTAAAAGGTATCCTATGGCACCTGATCCCACCTCCGATGTTTCGGAGGTCATTGTTTGCTTTTCTCCCAATTCGTATTGTTTAAATGGACTTTCAGCTTGAATACTGTTCGTTATCTCCATATTTCATCCAGAATCTATGCCTGACAAACCCTACCAAATCTAACGACCAAAATTTCACACAAAGCTTGCTGTTGTAAACTTTCCCCGTGGCTGTCCTTTACAAGGTAGAGTTAAGGATGAATTGGCGAAATTATATACATGCATTCGAAAATTACGTATGGCGAGGGGGTATGAAATAGTTGAGTCCAGGATAGTCATTTTATTCAAGGAATAATTGATTGATTAATTGTATGCTCTTTATCGTCACCTTTGCGAATTTTTAGTCCTATAGAGACGTCACCATATACCGTTGAAGTACATCAAATTTAGACAAGGGATCTCAGTTTTAAGGTCTCACCCGAAAGACCCGTGACTTTCTCTTCTAATGTCGGGCGCTTGTGTCGCTACTTGAAGTGGGATCAGGTGTCTAGGAGGAGTAGGCATCTCTGTCGAACGGTCACACCCAACTTGAGCCCTTTCTATTGATCAAGTAGACGGAATATTCTCTCGTCAAATTGAGTATAGAAAAACAAAGCAGTGTTTTCCCCAGAAAATTTTTAATGCATGGGGGGAATTTTGCTGAATTGACGGCGCGCGGCGCGTCTTATTGAGTTACTTGTGCATGTATCTGAATTTATATTTAAATGAAAAATACAAATGCATCATTCATTTATATTTTTTTAAATGATATATTGTGAATATATTGTCAATTTAACTTTTTAAAAAGCTAAACAATTGAGTTCTCTTATAATCACAAAAAAAAATGTTCTATTTTATTTTCCTCTAAAGCCACTGTCTTTTTTCATGTTAAATGTGCTGTGTTATTCTTGCTTCCTACAAACTGAATAGGCCCCTAGTGACCCCCTCCCCCCCCCTTTTTTTTATTTACTAC